TTCTATTCAAGAATTTTTGCCATTTTTAAATTGGGTTATTGGTCATGTTGTTGTTGAGTTTTAGGTGTCCTTTATATAAACTTACATATCAGGTAAGGATATTAAACTATTACCTGATACATGGTTTCCAAATATTTTCTCTAATTCTATAGGTTGCATTTTCACTTTCTTGTTACTGTCCCTTGATGCAAAAAAAAAAAAAAGTTTTTTTTTTTTTATTTTGATGATCTAGTTTATCTTAGTTTTCCTCTTGTCACTCATGCTTTTGGTATTACATCTAAAAATCCATTGCCTCGATAAGGTCTTGAAATGTTACTCTTATGCTTTCTTCTAAGAGTTTATGTGTGTTTTAGTTCTTATGTTTAGCTTATTGATCCATTTTGAGTTAATTTTTGTATGTGGTGTGAGATACTGGTATTTTGTATTTCAAACTTTCAGACTTACTTCAGCATTTCTTTTAGGGCATGTGGTAGTAACAATCTCCTTCAGCTTTTGTTTAGGAAAGTTCACTGATTCTTTCATGTCCCAACTGAAGTTTGCTGTTGAACCCCTCTAGTGAATTTTTCATTTCAGTTATTATACTTCTAAGCTCTACAATTTCTTTCTAGTTTCTTTTCATAATTCAGTGTCTATGTTAATGTTCTCATTTTGTTCATACATTGTTTTCTTGATTTCCTTTAATTCTTTGTCCTTATTTTCCTTCAGTTCTTTATAAATACAGGTAGTCCCCAGATTATGAATGCCTATCTTTAAGTCAAATTTGTTTTTAAGTAGGAACAGTTAGGTATGGTTCATATCTAACTTTTGTCAAATATTTGTCCTTGTATAAAGTATATGCAATATTTATAGTATATACTATACCATTCTATCCATAAAAAATTTGAAGAAACAATTCCAAATACACTAAAACATCTTTAACATAATAATACAGTAATAATAATAATGTTTTGATGCAGATGGCAAAGTAGTACCTATTTGTTATTATGAACCATTGTTTGTACCCTGAATTTTTAATATAATAGACTTTCTGGGATTGGTTTGTAACTATGAGTTGTACATAAATTGGACACTTGTATTCCAGGGACTGCTTGCATTTAAAACAGTTGTTTTAAAGTCTGTATCTATTAGAGCTAATGTCTGATCTTCCTAAGGATGGTTTCTACTGATTTAATTTGCTCTTTGAATGAGCTATCTTTCTTCATATCTCTGTACATCTTGTGATTTTTGTTGAAAATGGGATATTTGAATAATATAATATGGTAGTTCTGTTACTTAAATTCTTCCCTTCTCTCAGTATTTGTTAGATTCATTCATTTGTTCATCTGTTGTCCTTTTGTGTGTGTGTGTGTGTGTGTGTGTGTATGTCTTTCTTTTCCTTGTTGTTATTGTGCTGGTCACTCCCTTTTGGTATATTGTCTTTTCCTTCACCCTAGTCAATATGTGTCTCTTATTTATCCTTCTTTTCTTTTTCTTTATCCTTCTCACTCTTTTTTTTTTTTTTTTTCTGTTGTTGAAGGTGGTAGTGGTCCACTAGCTTAGTACTTTTTCCAGTCTATTTTTTCTGAACCAAATGGGGGGAGGAAACAAAAGGGGGAAAATCCCACTTATAGTCTTTGCAGACTTGCTCTATGTTGGGACAGTCCTTAACCAGGCTTACACTGAGCCAGGAGATCCATCCAAGGAGAAAGTTGAAGATTATTTCAGGTGTTTCTGGGCACATGTTTGCCACTGGGCATGCATGTGCTTCTCCAAATTATATATACACATTTTGGTACCTTTAAATGCCTGATTTCTCAAGGGAATTCTCTCCCTGGAATTTCTCCCCCTGATCTCCTTCCTCTGTACCAGTTGGCCTTAGGCTCTTCAGTTTGCTTTACATTATGCTTCAGGGTTTGCCTACTGCTCTTCTACCCTGACTGACCCCCAAAATGGATGGAACAAACACACGCTCTTTGCCTTAGTCCTTTAGATAATCACTCAATTGATCTAAACAGGGGAAAGTCATACTTTGTTATTAACAAAGTGTGCTCTGCTCGTCACAGAACAATGGGCTGAGATCCCAAACTGAAAACATGGTTGCCATTTCTTGCCAGTTGTCAAGTTGGTCTGGGGTGGTACTCGTGAACCAACAAAACAAAACAAAACTAAAAAAGCTTGAAGTCTTCCTACCATTCTGCAAGCCCTTATCCAGCTGGTGTGATCCCCCCTATTGTTCACCGGAGTGCCAGCAATATTAGTATTGTCATTTTCTGCCTTTTTTTTTTTTTTTTCTGTAGAAGGACCTGAATGTGGAGCTTCTTACTCTGCTATTTTGGTTCTGATATCTCTTACTGGAATCTTTTGAAGAATTAAAATTGTTATTTTAATGAAATCCATTTTATCAATGCCTTCTATGGATTTTATGAATTTTTGCTTTTATGATGTATCTAGGAACTCTTTGGGAGCTCAGGTGGTATAGTGCCTAAGGCATTTGACTGCTAACCAGAAGGCTGGAGGTTCAAACCCACCAGCTGCTCCTTGGAAGAAATCTTGGTCAATCTACGTCTATAGAGATGCTGCCTTAGAAACCCAAGGAGAGGTCGCTATGAGTCAGAAACAACTTGACAGCAGTGATTCCCACCCCCGCCCAGGAACTTTTTGCTTAATCCAAGATCATGAAGGTTTTCTTCTAAAAGTTAATATTTTTAACTTTTACATTTAGGTTTATAATTTATTTTTCATTAACTTTTGTGTGTGATGTGGGGTAGGGATGTAAATAGCTTTTTGCATGTGGATATCTAATTGTTCCGGCACCATTTGTTGAAAAGACTATCTTGACACCTTTATTGCAAATCATTCATCACATAGTAAGGAATTATTTCTGGACATTCTATTCTATTCCATTAATTTATATGTCTCTTGCGCCAATACCACACTCTCTTGAATCCACTATGTTGTTGTTGTTATGTGCCATCGAGTCGTACCTGATTCATAGCAACACCTCCTTGGGTTTCCACGGCAGTATCACTACGGAAGTAGATTGCCCAATCTTCCTTCTGAGGAGTGGCTGGTGGGTTTAGTTTTTAGTAAATGTTTTAAGTAAGAAATATAAATCTTAAAACTTTATTTGTTTACAAGATTGTTTTCCCTTTTTTGATTCCTTTGCATTTCCGTATGAATTTTAGAATCAGTTTATAAATTTCTGCAAAATAGCTAGCTGGGATTTTGATAGGTATTACACTGACTCTAGATCAATTTGGGGAGAATTGCCACCCTAACAATATTGAGTCTTCCAATCTATGAATATGGTATGACTTTTCATTAATTGAGAGCTTATGAATTAATTTCCCTTAAAATGTTTCCAAAAAAAATTATAGACTACAGATTTGAATGTGCATAAATTTTATAAAAATTAGTAGAGTAAAAGCAATTAAGATCAGCAGTTTAAGCAATAGAAATTATTCTGGCATGAAGGAGAAAACACTGTCAGTTTTTCCAGGTCACATCAAAAGCAAATTCATTAAAATTCAAGAAAACTTTTGCATTTTTGATACTCCATTCAATAAATGGGAGCTAATCATTGAATACATTGGAGAAAGGTTAAAGTTACTGATTTAACCAAAAGCATGAATTTTGGTGAATATAATATAAAAGTCTTATCACTTCAAAAAGAGCATCTAGGATAAACTGGTTCATGAGTTTTCATCATTTCAAAGACAATTTAAGATTAGCCGTTTTTCAAGGAAACTTCAAATGCCAAAAATCCTTTCTAATACTTCTTCATTCCCACTGAAACTGGTCTCTAAGATAACCAAATACCTCCTTAATGTCAGATACAGTGAACTCTGTTCAGAGTTTATCTGATGTCTTAAGTACTGACCACTACTATCTTCCTAAAATTCCCTTATTCTCTGGCTTTTCTGACATTATTCTTCTGCTTTTTCTTCTAATTTACTGATTGCTCCTTCCTAGAGCTCTGGTAGTATAGACTTGACTGCTAACCAGAAGGCTGGTGGTTCAAACCCACCAGCCACTCCTAGGTTGGACAATCTGCTTCTGTAGTGATACTACCTCAGAAACCCAAGGAGGGGTCGCTATGAGTTGGGTCTGGCTTGATGGCACGTAACAACAACAACAGTCTCCTTGGAGGGATTATTTTCTGTTCTAGTCTTTTAAATGTTTGTATTATCTCAGCACTTCTTCATTTCTTCAACTTAGTGAGCTATTCTACCCACTCACTCATTCATTTTACAGTATTCATTGAGCACATACTATGTAGTAAACACTATGCCAGGTTCTGAGGAGATAGTAACGAACAAGACAGATACCATCCTTGTATCATAGATCTTGGTCTACCCGGGGAGATAAATGTTAACCAAATAATTATACTCCCATAGCTTCAGTCATCACATTTTTTTCTTATAACTCCCAGATCTGTATCTACAGCTTTCCTGATGATTAAGAAAATTAGGACATCTGAAGTAATAAAAGATAGCCAAAAAACAAAACAAAACATGTCATTACTTGAGCTGTGGCAGTTCATGAAGCAAAAGCATCAGATCAGTCATTTTAAAATGCGTTTTTATTATCACCTCAAGTTTTACTCTGCCAGTGGAACTATATGGTATATGGAAGAATGCAGTCTAAGAATCCTTGATTCTTATTTAGGCTGTATGACAGAGTTGCTTTTGACCTAATTTTCTTAAATAAATGTTTACTGTTTGATTTATAAAAACATCAATGGAATTATTGTTTATGAAAATACTTTTAACTATCTTCCTTTATAGTTAATAACAAAATGAAAGTGAGTCAGAATGATCATATGCCTTAGTCTAGCTGGGATAATTACCAGTTTATACTGTTGTCTCAGCATAATACGAGTAGCACCTGCTTTCACTTTCAAAATTGTCTCTATTTACATAAGATTATATGGTCACTTCTAAAAATATTTTCTAAAAGAAATATTTGTTATACTTGCTATTTTTAAAGATCTTTTTTTTTTTTTTTTTACTACTTTACAGTCAAAAATTGGTGGAGTACAAATATTTCTGGAATAAGACACTTTCATTCCTTACATGTACTAAAAGAGAGCTGACTAATATTAGAAATGAAGTATATGATAATTTTCAAAACTGGACTTCACTGAAAGAAGAAATTTTTCTGCAGATTAAATCCATAAGTGAAACAGCCTTGACAGGTTTGTTATATATATTTAGAAAACAATTGTCCTTTTTTTTTTCCCCAAAAATAGAGCATTATAAGTAATGAAGCAGTCATATTTAATTTTATGTGATAGGAATTTGGGTTAACTTTATAAACCTGTTACTGGTTGCTAGACTAGATGACCATAAAGATTTGTTCCAACTCAGAGGCTCAGTAATTCTAGGCTTATCTAAGAGAAACTATGATATATCTTTCTTGAACTGTGTTTTTTTCTTGTTAAATATACCAATTTTGTATTTTTAAGATTTTCATCTTTTAATGGCAGAGTAGTTCATAGTTCATGTTAGAGCAACCCTCCCACAGATAACACCTACAAATTCAGCATTAACTATGAAAAAGAACTAACTGAAAACACTGGAGAATAACCAAAAACAAGTACATATGGAAGGAGTGTTGAAAATTAAAATAAGAGAATGGCACTGGGTGAATTCCCTGTTTGTTGTTATCTGTTGTTTGGTTGGTTTTTAATGCTGTTAGAGGGGCACAATTTGCTCCATACAGGGAAGTTAAAACTGTTAGAAATCTGTAGTCTTTTGGCCTGAAGCACTGGAGGACAGAGATTAAGGTAATTCTAGCTTCTCAGAAGTTAAGGGCAATCCTAAAATACAGATAGCCAGAGTAGTAGCCTGCATTTTGAATAAACTCTTCCCTAATCTCTAGTTTATCACTGAAACACATGTGTCCAGGGAAGAGGTTAATAAGCCCAAGGCTAAAATAATTGATATTTTAGCTGCCACATATCCCAGGAGAGACAGATTTTTTGGTATGATTTTATCCAAGTTTATTGCTTGTTAAAAACAAAATATTCTTTAGAGGAACATAACAATACAGAGTCTCTACAGTGTAATGGCCACAATGCTCATGATACAATCCAAAATTACTTGATCTAAGAAAAATCAGGAAATCAGGACCTATATCCAAAATAATAGATGGTCAATAGAGACCAACTCCAAGCTGACCCAGATGTTATAAGTACCTAACAAGAATGTTAAATCAACTAGACTCAAGGACATAAAGAAAAATATATTAGTAATGAATACAAAAATAGAAAATCTTAAAGAAACAAACTATTTTTAAAAATGGAAATTTGAGAATTGAAATATACAGTATCTCAAATAAAAGTTCACTCTAGGGTTTCATAGCATGTTGGAGATGACAGGAAAAAACATCAATGGCCTTCAAGATAGGTCAATAGAAATTAAATGATTTGAAGAGGAGAGATAAAATAACATTGAAAAAAAAATAAACTCAGGGTTTTGTGAGACAATATCAAAATGTCTGACATACATTAAAATAGATTTCCAGAAGGATTACAGAGCATCTTGAAGCCAAAAGAATATTTGAAGAAATAATAGGCAAAAATTTCTCAAATTTGATGAGAGACATATATTTACAGATTAAACTCATGGGGTTACTGGAGTTGGAATTGATTTAATAGCAAAATATGACATTCTTCAGGAGACTCAAAATTTTACTGAAATTATGTTCAAACTATAATTTATGGAGAAATTGCATATTTGTGTTGTGTAAAGTCTTTTTAGGCAAGAACCTAGAAAGTCTTCAGCATCTTAAATTTTTCTCTGTATGGCTTTTATTGTGTATTTTGTTTCTTGGGATTTTATCTTTTACTTTCCATTACTCAAATTTGTTTTTCTCCATTATAGCTTCTGTTACTTTTTATGTTGAAGCTATTAATTCATGTATATTAATTTTATACCCTTTTCTCTTTTCAAATATTTTGTGGTTTGCAGTTATTTTCCAACTTAATTTCTTGAGTTTTTTTCCATGTGCAAACATAATCTCCAAATAGTGATAGCTTTCATTCATCATTTCTGTTTTGTACCTCAAATATCTTGCCTTTGTCTAATTATTTTGGCTTGTACCTCCAATACAGTGTTAAATAATAGTAATTATAAGGGTTGTTCTTGACTTTAGTACAAAGGTCCAATGTTTTGGTTGATGCTGGTTTAGGAAGCAAACACAGATATATTTTTATCATCTTAAGGAAGAACCTATTCTTATGTTGCTAAATTGATCAAATGCCATCTTAGTGTCTATAAAGATTATCATATATTCTTCATCCTTAGACATATATGAATAAATATATTAGTAAATTCCTTAATATTGAACCATGTGTGCACTTCCTGGACACACCCTACTTCTTTATGAATTATTGCTTTATTATGCTGCTGGATTCTGTATGTAATATATTTTGTATGATTGTTGCATCAGAATTCACAAGTGAGAATAATGGTCTATTTTCTTTGCTCTATTTTATGTTTGTGAATCTTCAAATATTTAGGAAGTTTGGATTTTTCTTCTGGTAGCTCCTTTTATGATTACGACATTATTATGCTGTGGGGTTTAAAATCAGGAAAGGTGTACGTCAGGATTGTATCCTTTAATCGTATTTATTCAATCTATATGTTGAGCAAATAATCTGAGAGACCTGACTGTATAAAGAAGAATATGGCATCAGAATTGGAGGGAGACTCATTAACAACCTGCAGTGTACAGATGACACAACCTTGTTTCCTGAAGGCAAAGAAGACTTGAAGACTTACTGATGAAGATCAAGGACTACAGCCTTCAGTGTGGATCACATTCAACATGAAGAAATGAGATATGAAAGGTATCTAGGTTGCAAAAGAAGTAAAATTATCTCTTCTTACAGATGATGTGATCATATATATAGGAAATCCCAAAGAGTCTACAAGACTCTTCTACACCTAATAGAGGAATTTAGTAAAGTTGTAGGGTGCAAACTTGATGAACAAAAAAATCAATTGGGTTTCTGTACACCAGCAATGAGAAATCTGAAAGAAACATTGAAGAAACAATTCCATTTACAATAGCATCTAAAAGAGTAAAATACCTAGGAGTAAATCTAACCAAAGATATAAAGGCCTTACACAATTAAAGCTATAAAATACTTCTGAAAGAGATTAAGAAGACTTAAACAAATAGAAAGATGTTCCATGTTTATGGATTAGAAGGCTTAATATTATTAAGATGTCAATACTACCCAAAGCGATCTATAAATTCAATGCAAGCTTGATCAAAATTCCAACAGCCTTTACAGAAATAGAAAAAAAAAAAAAAAATTCTTAACTTTATATGGAATGGCAAGAGACCATGAATAGCCAAAGCAATGTCGAAAGAGAAGAACAAAGTAGGAGGACTCACACTTCCTGATTTTAAAACATACTACATAGCTACAGTAATCAAAACAGCCTGGTACTGGTTTAACGATAGGCACATAGACTACTAGAATAGAATTAAGAGTCCAGAGATAAACCCATATATCCATGGTCAACTGATTTTTGACAAGGGTGCTAAGTCCATCCAATGAGGAAAGAAAAGTCTGTTCAGTAAATGGTCCTGGGAAAATTGGATTTCCACATGCAGAAAAATGAAACAGGATCCATGCTTCACACCATTCACAAAAACAAATCAAAATGGACTGAGGCCCTAAATGTGCAAACTAAAGCCATAAAATTCTTAGAAGCAAAAGCAGAAACAACAGTGTCAGGCCTAGCTTTCAACAATGGATTATCTAATATAATAACAAAAGCACAAATAGCATAAGATAAAATAAACCAAAACCAAACTCACTGCCTTTGAGTCGGATCCAACTCATAGCGACCCCTCCTTGGGTTTCCGAGATGATATCTCTATGGAAGTAGATTGCCCAGTCTTCTTTGCAAGGAGTGACTGGTGAGTTTGAACCACCAGCCATCTGGTTAGCAGTCAAATGCCTTAGGCATTATGCTACCAGAGGTCCCAAAATAACTAAATGGAATATGGTAAAAACAAAAAACTATCAATAGACTTTATTTAAAAAGTGAAAATACAAGCCACCAACTAGAATATCTTCAGAAATCATATATCTGACTAGAATCTAATAACCAAAATATGTATAAAACTTCAACGACTTACCAACAAAACAGCAAATATCCCAAACAAAATGAGCAAAGAATTTGAGTAGACATTTGACCAAAGAGGACATTCAGATGGGCACTGAACACATGAAAAAATGCTCGGTGTCATTAGCCATAAGAGAGATGCAAATCAAAAAAACCACAATGA